CTTGCTGCAATAGGAATGGGGTTACAAATAAAAAGTAGAAACCCTCCTAATGGCTTTTGTTTTTGCCATCCTAACATTCTGTTTCAAGATACTCATGTGCCTCACATATATTTCATCTTTATTCAGATTTTTTTATTGTCATGGGTGACTTCCATACCTACTCTGTAAATAGTCCATTTTTTCACCTACCCATCACTAATCACTTATTCTGCCTTGTTTTTTTCTTGGACTTATAAAAATTATATATTAATATATATGTTAATACACAGGCCTCTGCATGTTTATGATAATAAAATCCATGAAGTTAGAGTCTTTGTCATTTTTGCTACTTTATCCATAGGCCAGAAATAGTATCTGGCACATTGTACATGCTCAATAAATATTTGATGAATTTACAGAGATGAAAATATGAGTAAGTAAAGTTTTCCAATTATATATTTGTCTTGCTTGTATTTATCATACTTTCCATTTAGAAGTAGCTAAAAGCAGAGATTTGCAAATCAAGCGAAGGGGTTTACATTCTTGCTGTGTGATGTAAAGGAAGTTATTTAGCCTCTCGGCCTCAATTTTAAAATCTGTAAGTTGAAGATAATGTATCTACCACTGTGTTAGCTAGCTTTCTAATTGTTTGGATAAAATACCCAATATTTGAAACTTAAAGGAAAAGTTTATTTTGGTACCGGGAATCAAACTCAGATCCTTGTGCTTACGAGGCAGGCGCTGGAACCACTGAGCTAAATCCCCAGCCTAGGAAAAGTTTACTTTGATTCAAGGTTTTAATTTGTGTTCCTCTGTCTGTAAGACAGAAATAGTATGGCAGAAGAAAAATGCTCTGCCTATGACAACTAGGAAGCAGGGAGAAAAGGGAGGAGCCGGGGATAAGTATATACTTTTGTAGGTCATGCCCCCATTGTCCCACCTCCAACCAGGTCTCACCTCCTAACAACGCATCATTAGGGGATTAATTCACTTATGACTATAGCACCCTTATGATTCAAAAGCCCCACCTCTGAATACTTGGAACTTTGGGGGAACATTCCAGATATAAACTATATAAATTGCATAAGCTTGTAATAGACATTACACCAATTAATACGGCAGGAAGTCAATAATAAGATATAGTTGTTGGGTTTTTAAATATTTAATTGCCAATTATTTGAATAATATCTTTATTACTCATTAGAATTTTAGTAAGAATATTAAAAATTTCCCTTAATTGTATCTCCAAATCTCAGATCATAACAGAAACCATAAAGATTTGTTGAATGTAAAAATTCATTTTCCCATGTTGAGTAGTTACCAGCCATTGTCACTAGATGGTAGCCTTGTCCAGGAAATGCAGATTGTCCCTGGTGTAACTGCCTGTAAACTGAGGGTTTCCAGGAAAGGGAAATGTAATTTATTAACTTTTTAGACCTGTAGGATGAAAGAAAGGTGACATGATCATAAAAGAACATCGCTTGTATTTTATACTCTTCATTCTATTATGTATCATACCCCCCTGACTGGCTCACTTTTTTGCAGTAGTGTTTTTTAGCATTTCTGCTTACCTCTTGTTACTGTTTTAGTACCTTTTACAAAAAAGTATATGAAGAATTTGTTATGTATTTGTTTTTTAATTCTTTTAATTTAAAATTTTTTACCTGTTTATTCCAAATTATATATTGATTGTGGCTGAAACATAAATTACCCTTTAATATAACTCCACACACACTCTCCATTACCTAGCAAAAAATATTTGCCTTTTTCTTCTAATTTTCAGTCTGTTGATGTGAAGCATATTTTACTTTTTTATTCTGAATATATTATCTTGGGAAAACAAATTATTAGGCTCAATGAGTTTATTCATGACCAACCTCACCTTTGTTTAGCAAAATTATTTTTAAAAAGCTATTAGTATAAAATAATGCATTGAGTATCCTGCAAATTAGATAACAAAGGGTCATTCTAAAAAAATTGAAATTAATTTTATAAGTACCAATTAGTATTGGGTTTTGAGGGTTTTTTTAAAAGTCCCATAATGTCTTAGCATAACATGCTAATTATATATTTACATGTATGTGTAAATTAAGATGAGGAAGAACTTTTTATTATAATTTAAAATCCATTTCCATTAAATCTCAAAAAAATTTATAGAGATTCCTTACAAACAGAGCTACTGTATGAGAGATCCAGCAATATTCCAATATGGGATAATATATCCAAAGGAAGTGAAATCAGTATGTTGACATGACATCTGCATTGTCATGCTTATTGTAGCACTGTTCATAATAGCCAAGAAATTGAAACAACCTATGTGTCTGTCAAATTATGAATGGATAAGGCAATGCAATATATAAATACCCAATGAAATTGCTCTTCAGTCATAACAATAATAAAACCTTATCATTTGTGACAGAATAGATATCATTGGAGATTTTATAGTAATAAAAGCCTGGCACATAAAGAGTACCACCTGATCTTATGTGTGGAATCTAAAAAGAATTTGATCTTGTAGATACTGAGAATAAAATAGCTTCCAGGGGAGTGAGAGAGATCAGGAAAGGTTGATCAGTGGGCAGCAAGTAATAGGAACAAGAAGTTCTGGTTTACTACTCCCCACGTAGTAGTATAACCATAATTACTGCATATTTTAAAGAGCTAAAAAAAGGATTTTTTATTTTTTCATCATAAATGATAAATGTTTGAGGAATATGTTTAACTTGATTTATACATTACACTATATATACAGATGTTAAAGTGCCATCTGGTAGCCCCCACAAATATGTGTGATTTTCACATTTTTATATATCAGTTATCAATTTAAAAAATTAGAAATTTAAAAAATTAATATGGCTTATAGGATTCCAACTTTTCCTAACAGTATAAATCTATTTAGTTGTATCTTCCATGGTATTATATCATTGGGTCTACCTTGGTTTCATGCTTCTTTAAATAATTATCTTAATTCCTAATATAATTTAAACACTTATTTTGAAAAAAACAATCTCCAGTTCAAGTATCATTGATTTAGCTATAAATGCTTATATGTTCTACAAGTTTATGTGGATTGCCAGTGCCACATTAGTTTCCTCATGATTCTTCTTCCCTATCCTCTACTTTTAGTTGAATGTGACCAGTGCTTCAAATAGGTATAAGGGTTCATTCCTTAAAATTCTCCCCCTCCTCTAACCTGAGCATTTAACAAGACTATATTCAAGACTTGGGTAAAAATAAAAGATGGCTTCAAAATATTTTTTAGAAAAGTTACGACTCAAAAGTATGTATAAATATTCTTATAATCTAGGTTTTAAAAAGGTACTTCATTAGGCACTTCTCTGTTTAATTTCTGGTTACAGAGGTCAGTTCTTATTTAAATTTTTAAAAGGAATACTTTGATACAGTACCATCCTACATCAATAATACTAGATTCAGTTTTGGTTTGAAATTTACTTTGTCTGCAAATAAGATTGCTACCCCTGTTTTTTTCTGGGTTCCTGTCACATGGAGAATTGTTTTCTATCTTTTCACTTTCAGTCTATGGGCTTGTTTTTGCACTAGGTGTGTTTCTTGTATACAACATATTGTTAGATTTTGCTTCTTATTCCATTTTGCCAGTCTATTTCTCTTGATTGGTGAGTTGAGGCCATTGACATTGCTGATTATAACTGATATGTACTGACTTATTATTGACATGTTATTGGCCTTTTGTTGACTCTTTTTACTTTTTCACCTTCTCCTTTTAATTTCTTGCCTTGCCTATTTGATTTGCTCTGTTGGGCCTCATGGTGTTGTTGCTTTCATTGTCTTTTTTATAAATTGAATTTTGGGAAACTTTAATGGTGCTGCCAACTTTGGAAAAAGTCATCCCAATTTACTGTATTGAGTTGGCATTGTACAGAAATGGACAACCATATTGGTCTAGAAATGTTAATTTATTTTTATTTTTATTTTTTATTTTTTTTCCATGTGTACAAGGGTAACACATCGTACTAAATATGTAAGGTTATATCTGTGGGTTTGATTACAGAAAGTAATATTCTCTAAATAATGAAAAAAAGAATAAGATAAGACTATAAGAGCAAGAAGCAATTTAAATATGTTCAGGGACCATTTTCATCTCCAGAATTAAGGATTATTTTAATGTTACATCATTGCCTTTTCTCTTTTACTTTCCTTTTTAGTTTTATTTTAAGATTCCCTATTTTTAATGTTCATACAGAGATTTCTTTAACTGAAATACCAAATAGTTTCTTTGGTGTGAAAAACTATAATAGTACACAGGATGCTAATGAGATAATTAATAATGTGAAATAGGAAGTAAAGGGCTAAAGGTGTAGAGAAAGTGGGAAGGGTGGGGGAAAGGTAATAAGGGAGAGGAAAAATATATGAGAAACTGAAAAAATGGAAATAAAGTGTTTGTAAATGGGGAGGGGAAGAGGGGGTAAAGGGAGGGCAGGGACAAGGGGAAAAAATGAGAATCAAGATCTATTATGTAAAGGTACAGAATCCCAATGATGAATGTAATTGTATTGTATACCTAGATTGTACCAATAAAATCAATAAAAAGAAAAAAAAAAGGAATACTTTGAAGAAGTTTCATTTCTTAGATGCTCAGTTTTCACTTTAAATTGTTATTTTTCTTCTGAGCAGCCCTTCTGTTCAGATGGCTGACAGTTGAAAAGTAAATTCTTTTTGGGAAAACTTTAGCTCCTGTTAATGAGTGTATATGCCTTTAGGAAATACGTACCAGTGAATCCAACAAGTTATACCCCAGCAGAAATAGTGTAGAATAATGCCATGTGAGGACATTGCAGTTGAACAGCCCAGGCTGGGCTCTAATATCTCCATTTCTGCTTTTGTGGTCTATCTGTCTGCTAAAGGTCAATTTGTTTTTCCTCCTTGCATTTAATATCTTTTTCTATTTCTTGTAACTATTGGAATAAAATAGGCAAAAATAAATTTCAGAGACATTGCCTTAATGCAAATTTAACTAAGATCCATTTTTTTTGTTTTCTCAATTCCAGGCTGCCTTGGAACTCAGTGGTCCTCTTGCCTCAGCCTCTTGAGTGCTGGGATTATAGGTATGTACCACTATGATTGGCTAAGATTCATTTTAGGAAACAACATCAATGTACTTCTTCTCATAGTAAAGAAAGCATTTACAATGATGCTAATAGACAACTCTTCACCTTTTGTTTTAAAAGTAGGATCTTTATTTTACTTTTAAAGTAATTTCTACTTCCCGAAAAAAAATGGCAGTGTGAGTTTCCGGGTTTTTTCTACTTATATTTATAAAGATTTTATAAATTTTAACTACATTTAAAAAGTTTCAGGAAATATTATCTAGATTTTTATTAGTTTATAAAGTTGAAGAACAGTTATATCAAGATGAAAAAGAGTATCTTATACTCTTCTGGATAATCTTTATAGTATACCTAACCAATAGAAGGCTGTAGTTTAGTCAATATTTGCTAAGTAAATGATTTTGAACAGAACACTTATTCAGCAGTGCCACAATTATCAACAATTAAGAAAACTAGTACCTTATTTCCTGCAAAATAAAGCTTAGCAAAAAATAAATAATTTGCAGATGTCTCTAACATTCAAAAAAGTTATTGAGAAAATTGTGCAATAAATCTTATCCCATGTACAGTGAAAATAATTGTCTTTCTACAATACTGTTTCTCAACCATGACATGTAGATTGGGTTAACCTTCCCTACTTTAGAATTACATTAATTTTGTCTTTGAAGTAGCCGTGATCTAGCCTCTGAGCTTATTCCAGGAGTGAGCTGGAGAGCTAATCCAAACAAATCTCACTTCAGACTTTGGCTGTTAAAAAAAGCCAAAGCAGATGGTTTCCTCAGCACTGGATTTGAAATAACAATGAATGTTTTGGAAGTAGCAAGGCATTTTGCTGAAATAGGGAGGTGGTCTACTATCAGGTACTCCAAAGGGAAGAGAGCCTGGAAATTTATCTTAGAAAAGTTTTGTTTCAGTTCTTCTGGTGTCATGGTGCCAAAGTGCATGTCTGCAGCACCCTACTGGTAGCCCCCACGGAAGAAGCCTTTTGTGGCTTCTACTGGCTTCAGGCTGCTTAGGAAGGAATCTAGGACACCCTGAGTCATGCAGTGGTGCTTCTATGCCTTCTCTGATTTGGGTGACAAACAGTGGAGGAATGAGACCACCCAAGCTGGCAAGTGGAAGACAATAAGGCACAGACTTTATTGACCTGGGTGTAGGTCAGCTGGGGCTAAAGGCCCATCAGTGACAAAGAAAAAGCAGGAGGCTTTATAGGAGATTGGGAGAAGAGTCTGGCATATATGGCACATACAGAAATTGGAGCAAATATTTGTGTTTGGGGCCCATGCAGCTGTTAAGGAAGGTATATGGATGTTATCAGAGAGTCACTGCTACAGTTGCCGCCATTTTAATATTTTGTCTGAGGCATTTGAGGAAGAGTCCCTGCTGATTTCCATGTGGCTGTGTTGAGATGGTAAAGCTGTTCCTTGGAAACTTGCCCTTGGAGGCCACAAAGAAAGAGATTCACTATTCGAGAAGTATGGGAAAGTGCTGAAATGTGACATTAAGAACTATGGCTTCATGCACATAGAAGACAAGAGAGCAGTGGAGTATACCATCTGTAACCTGCACCACTGCAAGTTGCACAGGGTGAACATCAGTGTGGAAGCCAGCAAGAACAAAAACAAAATTTTAATCTAATTACACATGGACAACGTCATTCCTACTTGTACCAACCAACCAAGAGCTTTGGGCCAAGCTTGAGGAGTATGATCCAGTCATTGAATGTGACATCATGAAAGATAATGTCTTTGTACACATGGAGTGGACAGAGGATTCACTGGAGGCCTTGATAACACTCAGTTTTGAGGGAAATGAATGCACATGCAGTCCACCAGTCAGCTCAGGACTGCACCAGGATGGGAGAGCAGAGCAGGTGTGGGAAAGAGAGGCACTGGTCCAAAGAGTGTCCAGTGGCTGGTTCAGGCCATGTGGCAGACTTGACTGAGCAATATAATGAGCAGTGGGTAGGCCTTACACCATGAGCTATGGGGATTCCTTGTACTTTAACAATGCTAAGGGAATGCTTCATGCCTGCTGCAGACTCTACTGTGATGCCCAGTCCTATGTGGCAGTGGCAGCCTTAGCTGCTTCTGCATATGATTACAGAGAGTAGAACCTGTCCCATTTGCCACAAGTCCAGAGCACAGCTATGGCCAGTCACTTCACCTCCAACTCTCTTGATCTCTACAGTAGATACCAGTTGCTGATCTTAGGAGCTGCTGCTGCCACAGCTACCCCTGTTACTGCAGATTCCACTTCATATTACGGGAGGGATTCATGGCCCCTGTGCAGGCTCAGACCCCCTTGTTGGAGAGCACTATGGTTACAGGAATGACAGTTGTCTCAAGTTTCTGTAGCTGTGCAGAAGCTTGTCCCTGTACACATGTCCCTGTATGACATGACCCAGTATGAGTGGGAGCAGTATGCAGATTGAGCTTTATACTCAACTCTTTAAAGCTTGAGGTGGGATGTGCATGGGCTGAAATTCTGAGCTGCAGTTGTGCATGAGAATATACCTTTCATTGGCATCCCACCTCTGGGATATTTTCAGCTCTGTGCATTCAGTCCCTCAGGAACTGTGGACCTTAATTTTCCTTCAGTTCAGACCTCCATTCCTTTCCTCTCTCATGTCCATCATCCTATTTTTGCTGTTGTTTAATACTTCTGTAGCTTCCCATTCATGTTCTGTTTTCCCAGTAAGCTTCATTGCAGGCAGATGCTGTCTCCTCACTGCCTCCTGCCTCCAGTGAATGTTAGATTTGTGAATGACTTTGGTGAGAGTCACTGCTCTGGGGTTTCTTTTGGTCCAAAGATTAGACCTGGGGTTGAATCACTGTTTTCTTTTTCTGTGAAATAAATTGCAGGATATAATTTTTAAAAAAGGAAGAAAAGTTTTGCTTCAGTCCTAGAGATAGAATTACACTTACTTTTTTGTAACATTGAACTTTGTTGAGTTACAAACTAATTTATTTAATTATCAATATGTGACTTCTTTTACTTTATTAAATGTTATGAATATTTCTGAAAAATAAACCTGTTACGTGGTTTTTCATGAAAACAGCAGAAATACAAACTTGAAGGAAACAAGCGAGTTAGGTCCATTGTCATCAGCCAGTCAGTCAGCACATGTTTGTTTATTTGTTTTCTCATTGAGTTTATTGGTACATTTTAGGTATGCAGTACAGTTACATTCATCATTGGCATCTTGTACCTTTACATGACAGGTGTTGGCTCTCATTTTTTCCCCATACTCCTGCCCTCCTTTCACTTCCTCCTCCTTCCCTATTTACAAAAACTTTATTTCCATTTTTTCATTTTCTCATTTTTTCTTTGCTTTATTTTCTTTCCCCTACCCTTCCCACTTCCCCTACACCTTTAGCCCTTTTCTTCATATTTATTAAACCCATCAGACAGGGACTCAAGGAGGTGAGCCATATTTTCCTTTTTTATGCTTTGTTCCCAATTGTTAAAATAATGTCTGGCTCATTGTAAGTGCAATATCTATTTAACAAAGGACTAAAATAGAATCATTACACCTTGGTAAGAAAAAGGTAAGATAATACTGCCTAAAATATGTGATATTAATAAAAGTAGATTAAAATATCAACCTACAGATAAGCATAAGTGAGAAGGGAAAAGTTTATCTTATTTTCTTTTGATTATATTAGTTTGTGATCATCATTCTAATCCTTATCTGCAAATGTAAATAATTAAAATATCAAAGAATAAGAATTTAATAATATATGTAAAATACTCATAAGTGTTCAAGGAATTTTGGATAGTATTATTGTAAGAGTGAATTATCAACTTGCCTTAATAATGCTTGGTTATTACTGTGTTGTCATACTTTTAAAGTTGTTCCAAAAGCTAAATTGTATAGTTAAATTTGACAATAAGCATATGCAGTCAATTTTTTTCCATTAAGTTTATTGGTACATTTTAGGTGTACAGTACAGTTACATTCATCGTTAGATCTTGTACTTTTACATGATGTATCTTGGTTCTTATTTTTTACCCATTCCCCTCCCCTACCTTCACCACCTCTACCCTTCTCTATTTAGAAGACTTTGTTTCCATATTTTTCAATTTCTCATATTTTTTCTTTTCCCTTCTTTCCTTTACCTACCCACCCCACTTCCCCTACTCCTTTCCACTTACTGTTTCACAATATCAATTATACATTTTGATCATTATTTACACTATTAATTTTTCACACCAGAGAAACTATTCAGTATTTACACATGTGTTCTATTTATTTCACTTAAGAGTGTGGCCTCCGTGTGCATCCACTTAGCTATAAATATCTCTAGTTTCTCATATATGGCTGAGTAGTTCTCCATTTTATATTTTAAAAATATGCATCTTTAGTTTCCAGAAGATAGGCAGTTGGGCTGTTTCCAAGTCTTAGCTACTACAAACTGTGCCACTATAAACATATATGTGCATATATAACTGTGGTATGATTCTTTTAATTCTTTTTGGAATATACTCAACAGAGGAATAGGTGGGTCAAATGGGACTTCTACTCCTAGTTCCTTGAGGTATCGCCACATTGATTTCCACAGTGGTTGGACCAGTCTGCACTCCCACCAACAATGAAGAAAGATTCTTATCTCCCTACAACCCCGCCAGCATTTGTTATTGGTTGATTTTTTGATAGCATCCATTCTTTCTGGGATGAAGTAGAATCTCAGTGTTTTCATCTGCATTCTCTTGAATGAACAGTGATGTTGAACATTTTTTCACATGTTTATTTTCTGGTTTTACTACTTTGAGAAACATCTGTTCATTTCAGATGCCCATTTTTTAATTGAGTCTTTATATTTGGGGGGGATCTGATTTTTTTTTTAGTTCTTTATGTGTTCTAGATAGTAGTAGAACTTTGAGAAAGAGCTGGGTTGTCTCTTTGCTCTGTTTTTGGGTTCTCTTGCAGTGCTGAAACTTTAATAAGATGAGATGCCAGTTGTTGATTCTTTGTGCAAGTTCCCATGCTACTG